TATACTTTGTATACAACCAGAGATATGAAAAATTGTGCTCTATTTGTGTAATATAAATTGCAATGCATTCTGCTGTCATATATAACAAATTAGAATAAAAAATACATAAAAATGAAAAATAAAATAAAGGTATTGTGTCCATCTACAACTAAAAAATAAGATATACTAATCTTTAAAAAATGTAAATCAATTTCATTTTTAAAAAATCTTAGACAACATAATTTTTCATAAAAATATCATTTATGCTATTATGTACTATATGAGTTTATTATTTTCTCAATGTGTTAATAAATGAATATTTTTAAATTTCTCAGCTTTAATTTCCAATATGATAAATAATAGGGAATAGTGACTTGAACTCTCAATTTTTAAGCATTTCAAAGTGTCCTGAGATCAAAAAGTATGGAAAATGCTGCCCTAAGAGTTCTCAAATAGGCTGTGAAGTCAAAAAAATATTTACTTATTTGGTTCTCTCTGATGTATGAGACAACATGATGAATTCATTAACTTGACATTCTCATTTTATAAATGAAAATGGCGGGGGTAGGAAGTTCAGTGAAAAGAAAATTGGATTGCTAGAAGAGAAAGAAGAGGATGACAACTTAAGATTTGGTCATGACTTCACCACTAACCAGTGGTAAAGCCTTGCTCACTAAGGCTAACCAACTTAACTACATATAACTTCCCTGGGCCTTTGTTTCCCATCTCTAAAATAAATAATATAATCAGTAATTCTCGAGAGAGGGTGATCCAGACTGAGGATACAATTTTTTCAAATTACATATTCATTCTCTTGCTTCCCCTGAGGACGCTGATTTATTTCCTCCCACCCTATTCCCCTTGATCATTAGTGCATTTAGCAGAAACTATTAATGATGGGAGTGGGTTATGCTTATGGTGTGCTGTGATGCTCTGGAGACAGAAAAAAATCTGAAAAACCTCTGGACTGAACTACCTTTCAGGTCCCTTATGATACAAGATTACTGCCAAAGAGGAACCCATTGCAATCACACACTCGTGATAATGTACCTTTTCCTCCTTCCTTTCCATCAGATGTTGCAGACTTTATATCTGGGCAAAGAGTGAAGAGAAAAGCCCCAAGTGCTCAGTCTAGTTTGCAAGGTCAATAGCATCTCTCTCGGATTGTTTGGTTATCACCTGGCAACATATATTAGCATTTCCAAAACCTAGTGTTCTTGGCTAAATCAAAAACAAAGTGCAATGCATTTCGCCCTTTAGAATAACTCCAGAAGGGCGATTCTTATTTGGACCGATTTTCTAATTTGGAAACAAAAGGAGTTAGGCTTGTCCAGTGAAATCCTTGTCAAGAGGATGAGGTTTTATTTTTGGATAGAGAGTTTAAAGAAACCTGCTTAAAGAAACTTCTTTTCCACCAGGTAAGTGTTCTTATTTGAACATGATCTATTTTCTTACCTTATAACCAAACAGAAAGAGTCCAAAGAAAAGGCTGTAGAGATCAGCTGTCAGGATGCCCAAGTTGACAGAGGTGGCACTAGTGACTTTAATCACCAATGGCATGAAGCTGTATAGGCAAAACATACAGAGAGCAAATGCCACAAACAGCAGGGCTGTGGAAAAATGGAATATCTAATATTATGGGGGAGAAATCACAAGACAAAGTCGCTTAAGCTTGGCTGCCATATAAAACTCCCTGATCCTTTAACACACTATCTACAAAGCTTCTCCTAATAGTAGTACTGCAAATGCGACTACAAAGTTCTCTGGAAAATAATAACAAAATACAAGCTGTGATGTAGATGACAAACCTTAAAAATCTAATAGAGTATTGGATGATGAAGACCATAATATCTTGCTTATAGTGTGACTGAGTTAACAGCTCTTATCACCCTCTGCTATCCTATCTATCCTCCCTGGGCAAATGATTCTGTGATAAAAGGTCAATAAAAACAGACTCAATGTCATGTGTCAAGAGAAATCACTCATTATCTTTTGTTCCTTTTATTTGTTTGGTCAGTAGGGTATGGTTTGTGTAACTGGATTCAGAATAAAGTATTTTTAGAACATCCAAGACAGATATGAGAGATCTTTGTATTTTGTACATCACATTAAATTAAATGCTCCAAGACGGCACAATATAACTATCCTCTTTGGGACAGTGCTAGTCAAGTGGATGCTGATCACAATAGCAATGTTTCCGCTTTGTGTCTACTTCTTTAACCTTGTGCTATGCTCAGTGCAAATATATACATATATTCATTTTCTCTCTCTTTCTCTCTCTTTCTCTTTCTCTCTGTTATTTAATTGAATCAAGTTATTCAAGCATGGTACATAATCTTCAGTGACATTTATGTACTGTTTAACTTCTTTTCACCCATCATTAAATACGGCTCAACTTTGTAATGTTTTGAACAACCAATAAAAAAAAAAATAAGGCTCAAATCTTTCTTCACTCTCTTAACATTTTCTTCAGTTTTATTTTTGTGCAGACACCTAGCAATGTCAGATGAGAGGAGCAACCAGAGGTAGTGAGTGATTACACAACCTTTGATGCTTCCAGTTAATGCTTCACAAATTACAACAAGCAGATGGCAACTTTCACACGTTGGAGAACCTAAATACAGATCTAATTGAAAGCTAGTGTGACGAAGTTCAGTCATCAGTCTTGTTTAGAATTCATAGTTTGTTTTTTTTTAAAGCTATTCCTGGAGTTAAAAATTAAAAATTAATTTTATAAGGGTTCATCTACCAATTCTCAGAGAAAACTCAATGTAAATCTCTATCATCAGTGTGATTTTATAAAGACATATAAATATTATTAAAATGAAGCATTTGTTTTTTGGTGTGCCTTTTGTCAGTTGGGGATAGAACACGGATAACAAAATTATTATTTATTTACATACCAATTTTCCAGTCCCAGTGAAT